CAACATGGAAATTAGCTCTGGTATCCTGGACTCTTAAACATGTGTGAGCCTTGACTGAGAGATCAGCTGGAAGGATATCACAGCTGAAGTCAAACATGCCTACAAACTCCACACTCACACTTCCAGAGGAGACATTTAAAATGAACAATCATTTATATCTAGTTGATTTCATTACATTTTTTTTTTTAAAAATCAGACAAATATTCACTTTGAGTTCTTTGCAGCAAAGGCATATTTGATTATTATTTTTAAACCGTGGTTTAAAATTGTGCAAATGTGCACAATATTGATCGAGATGTGATTTCAGTCAATTTGCAGTCAAGTGCCAGAGCTGGCCATACATGCAGGTTTTCTTCATCTGCCACTAATCTATAACCCAGTCAGACTCCAATGTCATTAGAAGATTAGTTCAGAAAAAATAACACTGAACCCAATACACTTCAATGTTACTTCAATATGCATTTTGTTCATATAGGCAAATGTTCCAATCCAGTGGGGGTGTCCTGCAGTGTTGAAGGTGTCATCTTCTAGATGAGACATTAAACCAAAGTCCCACCTGCCCAGTGGATGTGAATATTAAAGATCCCATGACAGTATTTGAAAAGAGAATGGAGTTTCTTTTGGTGTCCTGGCCAACAATTTCCCCAGACAACAGCATATTCTGTGAAGTGGTTTTAGATGTCCTCCCAATGTGAAAGGCACTGTATTAAGCACTTTGAGACACTATCCCACATGAAGGGTACTATATTCAAGTTGTATAACAAATGTAAGGATCATGATTATTATTATAATAAAATTTGTCATTTCACTTCTTGGTTGTTTTTGGTACATTGCTGTGCACAAAATTGGTTACTTTCAAAATACCTTCAAAATATACAGTCACAATGTTTCATCCACAAATATACAGTCAATTCACTTTACAGTATATTCTGCGAAGTGCTTTGAGACATCCAGAAGACGTGAAAAGCACTATATCAAATGCAAGGATTATTATTACTACAATACTGTACAAAACTTTGTGAAGCACTTTGCTTTTATAGGTGCAATAACAAATGTAAGGATTATTATTATTGTAACATGTGCGCCATTCTTTGGTGCTATTCTATTTTTGTAGAAATCCTAGAGGAAACAAATTATCTACTGTGGACTACTTAAAAATGTCACAGGGCAAATCTTGCCCTAGGCTTATGAAATCCTGCCCTAGACTTATGAAATCCTGCCATCAGATTGCCCAAGACACCAAAGGATATCTATCAGGTGAAGTACCTCAAACAGCTAAGAGGTAACATTAGGTTTAATTAGCTAAGCGCACAGTCTTCTAGCAAGACTAAGATTACACAAATAGCAGAAGATGGTGATTTTTCATTTTGTTTATTCAATTCCTACCTCTTGACATTTGTATTCACATAACATAATATTCAATACAGAATTACATCTGTGAAGTGCCTTTCAAGTCAGGAGGATACTCCGAGGCACTGAACAGTCAGGGATTAGGACACGAGCCAGTGGGGGAGTGGGGGTTAGTGGTGGGATTAGGGAGGGTGGCGGGCGGGGAGGGTGGGGGTAGGAGGAAGTCCGATGGCACGGTCAAAGAGGAGGGTCTTGAGGCATGCCTTGAAGGAGGCAAAGAAGGGAGTGAAGTGAAGAGAATGTGGGATGGAGTTCCAGAGGGTGGAGGCAGAGAGGCAGAAGGCCTACCACTGATGGTGGGGCAGGCCGGGTGGGGGACGTGGAACAGGTCAGAACCTGCTGAGAGGAGGGAGTGGACAGGTCAATAAGGGGCCAGCAGGTTGGAGAGGTAGAGGGGGCAAAGCCATGGAGGGCCTTGAAGGTGAGCACGAGAATTTTTAACTCGATCCTCTGAGGGATGGGGAGCCAGGCGAAGGTGGGTATGATGGGGTCACAGAGCCTGGTGTGGGAGAGGACACAAGCTGCAGATTTCTGGATGATCTGCAGCTTGTGGAGGGAAAGTTGGGAAGGCCGGCAAGCAGGGAGTTGGCATAGTCGAGCCTGGTTGTAATGAAGGCATGTATGAGAGGTTCGACGGCCTGAGGCACTGGGGGAGTCCGGAAATGTTGCGGAAGTGGGGGAAGGTAGAGCGGGTCATGGCATGGATGCGGGAGAGAAAGGACAGTTGAGGGTCGAATAGGATGCCTGGGTTCCCGACTGGCTTGGTGAGGTGGAGTGTGCATCCATAGATCCTGATGCTGCCAGTGCCTGAGGTGAAGAGGGGCTGGTGTGAGCCAATCAGGAGGGCCTTGGTCTTGCTGACATTCAAATGTAGAAAGTTAGCTTTCATTCAAAACTTGATGTCCAACAGGCAGTCTGTCAGGACATCAGTGGTCCTGGGGTCGAGGGTGGAGGCAGAGAGATAGAGTTGAGTGTCATCCACGTACATGTGGAAGTTGACCCCATGTCTGCGGATGAAGTCACCAAGAGGGAGCATGTACAGGTTGAAGAGGAGAGGCCCGAGGACAGAGCCCTGAGGAACATCGTATGAGATGATGCGGGGGCTGGATGAGAAGCCATTTGTGGAGTCAAGTGGAGCCAGTGTGAGAGTTAGGATCTGAACCACTCAAGGACAGAAGCTTGAAGGTTAAGGTGGAGGCGGATAGAGTGGTCCACAGTGTCAAAGGCAGCAGAGAGATCGGGGAGGACGGGGAGACAGATACAGGTTAACAGCAAAAGCTTAAAACGGTTCCTCACCTGGGATTATTTACCATTATTCAGGAAAGGTTAAATCATTGGTCAGACAATTGTCTGTGGTTTGGTAAGATTGATAATAATCGTTGCGTTTGATGTAGTACTTTTCATTTCTGGAGGACATCTCAAGCTGCTTTACAGGATTTACTGTAAAGTGTAGTTACTGTGCACTTTGTGCGAAAACTCAGCAGCCCACAGCCACCATGAAGTGAATGACAAGATTTATCTGGAGGGATTGTTGGCATCTCCCTTCTCTTTTTCCAATTGTATTATGAGATGTTTAACATCCACCTGAACAGGCAGGCTGAGTCTGATCCAGAACATCAAATCCAAAGGCACTACAAACCATACAGCACATCCCAGCACTGAAATGTGAGTTGCACTGCAAAGACTACGTTGGTTCAAAGTATTTGAACCTACAACCTTCTCAATCAGAGGCGAGAATGCTACCAACTGAGCTAGGCATCAACATCAGTTAAATATCTGATGTGTTGAGTTCTCGAAAGTGGAAAAACTTAAAGTATTGAATGCTTCTTGAATACTATATGTAGATAGAAATAAATAATTCTTCGGTATTTTGAAACCTTGAGGCCTTGACCAGATTTTTGAAAGAGCTACACTAAGCAGATGCCAAGGCAATTGATTTCTTACACTGTCTATTGTTCAAATCTGGAGGTGGTAATACAATATATTTTATTTGAGATTTTCATAATAATTTTCATAAAAGTTGCCTTTTATTTGACTAGAATCACCCAAGTACTTTAAATTTTACAGCAGCATCTCCAAATTTTAAAGAAAGCCAATGGATCTTGAAGCATACAAGGGAAGATTCTTTTAAAGCTGGTAAATTTACAGGCCAGAGAAGATTAAGTTGTTCCCACTGACCCAAACTCCATAAATATAAACTATAAAAGGGTATGAGAAAATGCAGGAGAAAGAGTGAATAGATAGCTATTTCAGAGAGCCAGCACAATAGGCTAAATGGCTTCCTTTGTGCTGTAAATTTCAATGGTTCTAAATTTACTGTCCTACTAAAGAATCACCTCCATCTTATTAAGGTGACTATGAAAATGTCTCTTTAAATTAACTTTTTAAAGTTTTTCTATTACAAACATAATAATAGTTACAATCATATTTGATGTCTCAGTCCAAGAGTAAAGCATTAAATATGAGCATCAAGCTAGATATTTAAATAGAGTTTAAATAGTAAAGGTTGTGATAATAGAGAATCATAATGAATGTATTTGTGGGCCAGTGAAATATTATTATAACAAGAGAATGGTACGTATCCACTCACAATTTCTTTTCGTCAACCAGGTATCTGACATATACTTAAACCCATCACTGTGCTTAAAAGTATCCAAACCAGTCTGAGAATTCCACATATGTATGGCACCTACATGTGGAAATATTCCTGGAATGGAATTTGAAATGGAATGTGCATTCTCTCCCCAGCTGGACGCTGGCTGCCTAGCTAATTCCGGAGAGTAGTAGGTGCAGATTGGCAAGTGGGAAGCTGAGTGGGAAGATTCCTGGACCCAGGGGTTTGCCCCTCCATATCCTGCCAATAAACCTTGATTATTTTCTGAACACCAAAAATAAGCAATACCAGAGATTTTGTGTGAATATCTCAAAATGTGAAAGTTATCATCTTATAGCATTAATGCAGGATTGAACAAAACTTGAGACAAAGACAAAGCATCCAGATTTAAATATGCAAAAAATAACAAATGCAGAGAAAATCTATGCTTTATTATGCTGTGTATCATAGCTTGAATATTTCAATACTTTCTGAATTACTCAGATCCAATTATTCTTTGAAATTATGCTGTTTCTTTTGAGTAGAGCATTTCTGGCATATTTTGGGGGACAAAAATAAATCATCTTACAGTTTCAATGGAAAGTTTCACTGAACTTCAAAGCCCTAAGGCTGGAACAATGCGTGGGTGCTGAAAACAAATCTACTGGCTAAACAGAAACATGCTGATCTTTCTTATTAAGAAAATGCAAGCTACAATAGGATATCATTTAAAGTCCCATTTCTCCCCACCTGTGGGAAGAATTGTTAACACCGATTCCCTGACTAGAATAGTAGCTTGTGCTTTGTAAAGAATGGAGATGCACAAGAGTAGTCACATGCAGCAGTGGAGACTGAGACCTAGGGCCAAAACAACTTTGTTCACAAAGAGATCTAGATCTCTTGGACTCTAGTTTAAAGTCATCTCTGACCTGCTACTGAAACGTTTACACGTTGAATGCTTTTTTCTCCCACTTTGTTTAGGTACAGATAGTCTACAATGACTGGCAAAACACAGACCAGCAACGTTACTAACAAGAACGATCCCAGGTCCATCAACTCCCGAGTCTTCATTGGCAACCTCAACACAACCATTGTGAAAAAAGGTGACATAGAAGCTATTTTTGCCAAATATGGAAAGATAGTTGGCTGCTCCGTGCACAAGGGATACGCATTTGTACAATACATGAATGAAAGGAACGCACGTACAGCAGTAGCAGGGGAAAACGCCAGAATAGTTGCAGGTCAACCACTTGGTAAGACGACAAGATTTTCTAATTTTGTTGTTGTTGTTACAATCTTTCTCTCGTAGTATTACATTTCCAGTTGTTTTGACAGTGATATGTGTTTCTTCTGCAAAGCAGGTTGCTGACAAGGTCTTGAATGTAGTTGATGTGCCACTAAGTGAACCATAAACAATGTGTGTTGTATTAGAGATTGTGATGTATGATATGAAGTGTTATTGTGAGGACCTACTGTAGTGATCAGATGTTTTGCTATTTATATCTTTGCTTTTAGTTGCTAGTTTTTAATGCTGGGAAAATACTTAATACACTACGTACTATAGATTGTGTTTGATATGTTATTGTAGCATTGCTACTGACAGTAGCTCTGCCTTCATTTGCAACGTCGTAATATAAACAAAGTTGCACCTTTGTCTCCAGAGGCACTCACTTCCATATCCTGAAGCAGGTTTTCATTCTGCCTCTGGAGGCAGCAATAATTGGAGATTGAAATGTAAGTGGCCCCATCAACAGCGTGCAGCTTTGCCAGCTAATGCGTTTCATTCAGGTGTGAACAGGCTGCACTCTCAGCCCACATGTCCAGACCAACAAACAGTTTAGGCATTTCTGGCACGTACAGTCCAGCCCCAGACACCAGGGTAGGTCCAGGCCACAAATAAACATTTGGTTTACAATTTGGAAACATACACATGCAGTTGTCACTGTATTACAGCCAATGCATTCCCAGTGTAAATATGGTGGCATCCACTGTCCCAACAAGCACCACTCAAACCACTTCTATAATAAACTGGTATAACACTCTGACAAAACAACTAAACACTGGAATAAACCAGACTTTAACCCCAGTTTGATTGGAGGAATCACCAGCAAGTAGTAATCCCTATAGATCGATGAAACAAAAGTAAATCTATTAGAACATTACAAGGGATAAACAGATTTAATTAACACCTTTGCTAAACAGAAGAACCTTTGGAAAAAATCACTCATCCTTGATCAGTTTAATCTTTCAATTAAAAAAATAAAATTCATGTCAATAGGGCAAGAGCAATCAAAATGTAGAATTGGAGTATTTGTTGTCAATATTCATTTACAGAAAGGTATAAAATATTCCCAAACCTCTTTAGAATTGTTCTTTCCTTAAAGTTACTTTGATCACAAACAGGATGTAATCCAAGGTCATGTTGCTCTGTTTTATCAAATCTGCAACCAAGGAGAAAATCAGACATCTCATTGAGCCTAGCATGCTGCTTGCTCATTCTTTAGGGCTAACTAATCTCACCCCAATTCCTTGCTCACACCCTTTCATATTCTTCCCCCTTCGAACTAGCCAGTTCCTTTTAGTTATTGCTGTGGTTTCAAGTGAATCCAAAAAAACTTGCATTTGATATAATGCCTTTCACAGCAGGAGATGGATCATGGCTCAAAGTGCTTCATAGGATTCGCTGCAAAGTGTACTGACCTGTAAAAATACAAAGTGTTTTTATAGGCAAACCAAAAGCTAATTTGCATTCAACGGGGTCCTTCACCTAGCCATGAAGTGAGTGGCCTATTTTATTTGGGGGATTATTGGCCAGGACACCAGGAGGAATGCTCTTCCCAAGTAATGGCATGTGATCTTTAACATCCACCTGAACAGGCAGATAAGACTTTGGTTTAATATCTCACTTGAAGGATGGGACTTCCAATAATGCAGTGCATCCCCAGCATTGAAATGGAGTAGCATGTTCGACTGTGAGTTCAAAGTCCTGACATGGACTCACAACCTTCTGACTCAGAGGCAAGAGTGCAACCAGCTGAGCCAGACTGATAATAACCACTTGTGGAAAAGTATTCCAAATTTTGATGAATTGCTGCAGGAGAAGATTTCTTCTAACCTTCCCCCTTAACCTTTCCAATGATGAGGTTAAACCTTTCCTTGTCATTGAATTCTAAACTGTGGGAATAATCTTTCACTATCAATCTTCTCAAAATTGATCAGATTTTAGAGACATCTATTTTATGCCACATGTATATTGAATGTCAAGAAAATGTGATTTTGTAACAAGCTAAGCTCCTTGTGCTGTGGAGTAAACTCTATATAGACTGTGGGACAGATTCCACAATTCACAGATGACTATGGCACTCAACCAAAATATGAAAGAATGTCAGCAGCCTCCTTTGCCTATGTCGTCACTCTGGTTTCCTCTTCAGTTCTGGGTGCAGAGTATTGCTTAAATAGATGCAAGAATGATGTGAAGTTCATATCAGGGTAGGTTGACTGTGGGATTGATAGGCCGAATGCCCTTTTGTTGTTCCATACTTTTAATATGTTCATTGCTCTGAATGTATTCCAGAACGCAAAGAGTACTACTGAAATGATACTTAGACTAACTGGTTCATCACCAGCAGGCCTTTCCCTTCAAGGTTAAAATCTTTGGAGTTATGGGTAAATATTCTCTGGGGGAAGTAGATTGTCCAAGCCAGCCTGAGTCTTTCAATAGATAAAGTTATTGAATTATCATTTGCACTGCAAATTATATCACAGTGAAATCTACAAATGGTACCAATGAGAAATAATAGTTAATATATATGCTTAGAATTTTTGAAAAACAAGATGGAATTATAGCCAAAAATGGAGTTCTATTTCTATTTTATATACCTGATGGAGGTTTATACTTGATTGGAAAGTACATTCTGTGTATGGCATGGTAGAGAGGAAATTTAAATGTAATAGTCAAAAGGGCCCAGAAACCTAAACTCTGGCATTCGGATAGGTGGAGGCGCATGTGGAGTATAAATAGTAGCACAAACTAGATAAGTTGGTATTCGTGCTCTCTATGTAAATCTATGTAAAGTTGCTACATTTAGTAATCAGCAATTCTTCACCCTATGTTTTTTTAAAAACTTCTTAAACAAAATGTCACAACACATCTGTTTTTATTTTCTTGTTCCTTTGCATCTGTTGAAAAACACTAGAAAATACAGCAGAAAGAAAAGGTGTGCAGTTTCCAGGGAAAATTCCACTCGAGATCCAGAAGTATGTGGGCCAGAGCAGCTGGTGCCATTACACAGCCCTATAACCAATCTGCACTTTAATTTAACCTTACATCATGCAGCCCAACTTCATTTACAAGTTCTACATTTAATGGATCCTGGGAATTGCGCTGCAGAACATACTCCTTCTGTCCTTGGCGTACAGACTGTACTATAAATTGCTTTTTATGACCCCGGTTGACAGGACATTTTTTTACTTCCATAAACTTTGATTAATTTTTGTACCCAATACCACATTCTTGGTATAACCGCTGTTGCATTTGCTGTTCGGAACCCAATGTTAACAAGATCATAATTGCAGTTTTTGCACTGAATTAAAAGCAAACTGCATTACTTAGAAATGTTGAATTTAATTTGTTTGCTTACAAAGTTAGTCCTCTGATAGATGTCGTTAACAATTGAACCTTGGCGCATTGCTTTAAAATTCACGACTGAAATATCCACTGGAGTCCTGTAGCTCAGTGGTTAGAGCACTCGCTTTGCAAGCGAGACACTTGGGTTCAATTCCAGGCAGGGCGAAACCTTGGGCAAGTTTCCTTACTCCACACGCCTAATGATAATCCCTCAAAACAAAAACAATAATAAATTGGTCATTTTCAATCCACAACTGTTTGTGGGACACTGCTGTGCGCAATTGGCTGCTGTGTTTCGCCCACAAATATACGGTCAATTCACTTTACAGCATATTCTGTGAAGCACTTTGAGATGTCGAGAAGACGTGAAAAGCACGATATCAAATGCAAGGATTATTTATTTATTCTCCTTCATGTTGCAAATGCGTGGTAGGGTGACAGCATGACATTAACTGGTTTTGCATAACTTTGCTACGTTTCTTTATACTGAATCTTGAATGATGTCTATTATTATTTTATAAGCCAAAATTTCCTGGAATATATTTTACAAAGCATAAACTGAGCACAATTCTACAAATTCAACACACAGTAGAAAGAAGAAAAACACTCCGGAACACTACCCAGTGTGAAGGGTGCTATATAAATGCAAGTTGTTGTTGTCAAAAAAAACAGTGGTATGAAGTTGGGGGGAGAGGAGGGAAGAGTAGAGTTGAACGTGTTCCAGTGCCTTGAGATGTCCTCCCAAAGTGAAAGGCGCTCAACAAATGTAATTTGTTGTTGTTGATTAACTACAAGGGTATAATATAATAACCTACCAAGAAAGATTCCTTTATTATTTTCATAGCCAATGGAGTTCATTATGCCATTCAGTAGTATTTCTGTAGCAACATTATAGTGTGCATGTACCATTACTTCCACAGATGCATCTATAGACCCATAGTTGAATGATAATGAATACATGAGTGAGTTATCAGTGAGACATTAATTTTTCAAGAAATGTTCTGCTTGGATCAGGAATCTCACATAACAGGAATAGTACTTGGAAATTCTACACTTGGCTTGTAATGATGCCTGAGTATAGTATGTATTTCTCCAGATAAATGTATTTCTCAGGGTTTTAACAAGTTCTCAGTTTGGCATGAGGTTTTAATAGTAAGAGGCAATTGCATTATTTAAATGTTTTTAAAGGCTGCTCGAAAACAAGAAGTCTAGGTTCTAGTCTCAGCTTTGCAAAAATAGTACAGCAATGATAGTGGTACAAATCAACTCTGTGTGTTAAAGCACATACATGTATGCCATCGAGCTTCGTTAATCTGCAAGCAGAGTGTATAGCACTGATAAAGCCGAGATTGTCAAAGATCTGGACACCAGAACCTTCTAGAAATAAGATAAATTATCTCCACTAGAGCACCTCAATCATTGGGTTGCCCCCACCCCCGCCACCTCAATAACTAGTGTCAGCCTACGGGCAGTACATGTAATGAGTAAATATATAATATAATAATAATCCTTGCATTTGATGTAGCACTTTTCACGTCTTCTAGACGAGATGCGCATGGAATACACATACCATAAATATGAGGATAAAAAACAAGGCTTTATTGATTTAATGCAGTTCAAAAGACC